TTGGTCACTATAATTTACTTTATCGTAAAAGTAATTAGAAAAGTAATTAGAATAGTAATTGCTAAATCCATTTTCCATGTAACTGTAATTAAATTAATATAATTCCTTTTTTAAAGAATATACTTTGTAAGTGTAATTAGTTCCTTTTTTAAAAAAAGTAATTTGTAATTGTAACTATTTTTAAATTACAAGTAATTACCCAGCTCTGTTAATCAGTAGGGATAAATGAAAAATAATTTAAATAAGGTAACAGAATTAAACTACATAATACGAATAATTATTATTTTCAGAAATTTAATTAATTTGCTCGAAGTAACCGCCATCTACTTGTAAACAGTCACCTATGTGTCCTTCTTGTTACCCCATATGTAATAGCTCTGGATATTTGGGTAGCAGGTAAAGCTTCAAAGGCTTCTCTTACACGGGCAACTAGGTTTTCTTTGGAATAAACTTTCTCCTTTATTGCACCCCAGACATAAAAATCTGGTGGCGACAGATCTGGAGATCTTGGTGGCCAATCCTAGGGTCCTAGACGTATAATCCACCTGTCTTCAAACATTTCATTTAATAGGCGGCATACTTTCTACAATGAGGTGGAGCACCGTCTAGCTGATACCAGCAGCTTCTTAGTTGATCTAGGGGTAGATCCTCTAAGAAATCTGTTACAACGGTTCTCAAAACATGGAGGTATTTTTCTGATGCCCAAAAGTGTGGATTGTGTCTATTAAAAATACCTTCGCTACTAAGTTTTGACCATCTATCCAAATGATTTTGCATAAAAACTCTGGATCTTCTTATGTTCGCGTTAAAATCATTTTAATGAATTATTGAGTTCGTCTTTCAGCAACCCCACACTTCGAACGAATTTATTACAGTTTTCACCGTTGTATACAATGGTTGAAAATCACTCTCGAATGCAGAATCTTGCGGATATTTTTCTTGAGGATATATCCTATATTAAGAGAGTTTTTTCTAGTCGTAACTTGCAATGTAATTTTTAATCATTCTTTATATTATGACCTGCTTTAGGATATTATATTGTGTACTAGTTTTAATTGAATTTTAAAATGTTTTCTTGGTATTTATGTTAGCATTTATTTTAACTTTGTTAACTGTTTTTTTTTTAATTGGTCCTATATACGTAGTGGTTATTTTTTATAATTTTTTATAACCTTTATATTTTATGTTATTGTTAACTGTTTTTTTTTTACTTTTGTACTTTATTGATATCTGATTTTGTTAATGCATCTATTTTTATTAGCTATTTCTCCCACCTATTAACTGGTTTTAACTGTTAGGTTAATAATAAATAAATAAATAAATAATAAATTAATAAATAAATTGAAGTTAAATGAATGCTGACCATTAGTTTTTAAAATCTTTTGGATGGAGGTTTTTGAAATGCCTAAATTCTATTTAGCAACACGAATTGATGAGTCAGGGTAAGCATGAAAATATGCCAAAACATTGACGATGTTACCTTCATCTAAAGTTATCGGCTTTGGCAAAATTCTATGTGCAGAAATTCGACCATGTTCTAATTGATTTTTTAAAATTCTTCGTAAAATGTGTCTGCTCATTGGTGGTACATGAGGATATCTCTCATTAAATACCATTCAAATCCTATTTATTATCTTGTGATACTCCATGAATAAATAATAAATTTAAAATGTCAGCATTTGAATAAATGTTAACGATTTCCATTCTTTAACAATAAATAATACTCAAATAAACATTCACTGTATGTGTTAATTTGACAACAATAAACTGGTCATAGATTAGGTGCTTGTATTGAAGCTCCACCAAAAATTTCCTCGCAAGAAATTATGCGATATCCGTTGACTGCACGAAAAACAGTAAATATCTTAAAAACCAGAAGAGATCGGTATAGGGAATCATTATACCATCCAAAAGACAACAAAATTGTTCATCAGGTTGCGCAAAAATATACAGGGTATTCCATTAAAAAAAAGTTAAGATGGTTTAAAGATGACTAAATTCGGCATTAAATTTCTACCACCCTGTATGAAATTAAGTCATTTTCAAATTATGGCAGGGAAGCTTAGAGTTTTAGTTATGTCCCCTATAAATTTTATCGTTCTAACTTTATTATTGTAAAATACACATCTTTTTTAATTAGGCAGTGCTTTTTTAATTTTTTTTTTTTTTTTTGAAAAAAATTAATAGATCAAAAACGGTTAACTTTATGAAAGTTTATCTAAAAATTTACGTAGAAATCAAAATTGCAATAATATACAGTGTTCTATTTAAAATTACGAAGATGACGTCAACTTCCGGTATAACCGGAAACGTTAGGTGAACACCATTATTTTACTTGAGAAGGGCATGCCCGAAAATACTATTGCCCAAATTTTCAAAATTAAAATCGAAGTAGTCTCTGAAATATGTCTAATGTCTTCTCACCGTGGGACACCCTGTATAAATATTAATACAGTGTAATACAAATGTCTCAATAAATAACTTATTCATTGTTTTTGATTCATACTTTTTGGCCGAGGAGAAAATATAGTATGTTACTCGGTTGTAATGAAAAAATTCGATACTTGTGGTTCTTCCACTAGTATCGAATTTTTTCATTCTGACCTTGCTACAAAATACACTTTTCTATTATTATACATTTGTATTCACTAGTTAACTGGTCCACAGCAATATTTAATTTTTCGTTTCCGATTCTGATTCTGCCTGCGGCCACATTGGAAAAACCCATTTATGAGTGAGTATTTAATATGTGGGTTAGTAACCATGAAATCCGATTGTCCTCAAAAATGGTAAATCCCGAATCAACAAGAACTTTATCAAATGATAGTTTACATCTAAGAAACCATATATTTTGCAATAACTGGTAGGTTATCAACGCGTGGCACACGGACACGCATATGATAAGTTATTACCAGGGCCGACCAAATTGAACTTGAAACTAAATGAAAATATTTACTAATGCGATTCAATTATTTAAAATTCAAAATTATTTTATTGTTGTTTTCGGAGTAAATCAAAACAGTTTTTAAACTTGTCAGTGTCACAGAAAACATTTAGATATAGTTTTTTGCACTGGCCATGAATGAATACAACTATTCAAAGTGCAGAACACGAAATAATTATAATCAGAATCATTTTACAATTATTGCCATAGAGTTTTTTAAGCTTTTTATAATCTAAATAAGGTTACGAAATGCGCAAGGTATAAGTTATACAGGATGTTTCGATAAAAATTGAAACTGGACAAATATTAATGGAAGATTACTGAATATACAGGATGGTCCAGTTTCCGATGCGGAAACTTCAGTGATCGATAGAGATTTAAAAAATAATACGAGAAATGCTTCGTTAAGCAAATACAAGGTGTTCAAGATTGGTTAAAAAAAATTAAATTTATTAATTGTTGCCAAACAGCTGAGGATATTTCAATGAAATTTTGTATTACCATCGAGGGAGCATGTTTTGCAATGAAAAACATTATTTGTAGTTTTGTCAGTGGCGTTCGTACTAGCACGTTACTGGATATTTCTAAAGAAAATATTAGTACTTACGCCACTGCTGTTTCATAAAATAAAAATCAGTTTTGGATTCTTCATTCAATTTGAAAGAAGAAAGCTCGATTTCAATTTTCAAAGTATATCTGAAAAACATAATATCAATGTTTGGGCACACGATCCTTGAGAAATTTGGTCAATTTTCCGTAAATGTTTGGTAGGGAGTTTTTGATAATAATGTTTGTGGTTCACATTTTCTATTCCCTAGGTTAAAGCCGGAACTATTTCTTGAATTTCTTACTAATAACTAATAACCTGCATCGAGGATATACCCGTTAACTCAAGACATGAAATACAACTGATGGAGCCCCACCAGCATTTTGGATTTTTGGAATAGCTGTAAGAGAATTGAATGTATATTTACAACCATATATGTAATGTTGATATTGCAAACTTGCAGTAAGTTTGAAAGAAACATATTTCTGGGTTTGACATATATCCAGATGGAAAGTGACATTTACCAGGGTGGAAAGTGATTACTTTCCACCCAGATAAATGTCAGTTTTAACCCAGGTAAATGTCAACGTTCATTAAATAACGAAAATATTTGTTTCAAAAAATCTTGCACGACTCTTCTTAGGTAACAAATCTTTTTCCAAATGTTCAGCGGCTTCTCTCAGTTGAGGAAGAGTACAAATAATTTCTTCTAAATCGCTCATTGTCTTCGAAATCACTTTTTTGATGACAATCTATCAACAATACACTTTCTTAGTGCCATACTAACCATTATCAAAATGCATTTTTTTATCTGAAATCTGGATATACAGGGATCTTACTTTGTTAATTTCTCACGTAATTATTTCCTTTCAAAAACCGTCACTTTTATTAAAAGGTATATGGTTGTAAATAAAATAGTACCTACACAAACCTCGGTGAAGTTTCATTCTTGTCTCGAGATTTTTTTTTCCTCTCGACAAGAATGAAACACTTTCCACCTCGGTAATATACGAACTATTTTCTCCCTCGATGGTAATAACATCTACAAAATTTCATTGAAATATCGTTAGCCGTTTGGCAACAATTAATAAATTAGATTTTTTAAAACCAATCTTGAACACCTTGCATTTCTCGAATATAGTTTATATAGCAACCTCATATTATTTTTTGAATCTCTATCGGTCCTTGAATTTCCCGCATCAGAAACTGGACCACCCTGTATATACATCAAATACCCAGGTACACGACACAGGTGCTTCATAAAATGTGTTTCGTTTTTTTTAGAAACTCGACTAGAAAGTTGACAATTGTCATTTTTTATTACAAACGTGAACTTAATAAAGGTTCATATTCACATTAAGTTCACATTTGTGTTTAAAAAAACAATTGAAAATGTCAAGTCCCTACACGAGTTTCAAAAAAAAAAACTCAACTATGGAGCACCCTCGTAGAAGGTATTTGAAAAATTTAAAATGAGATAAGTGAATAGTGATAATGCTTGTACTTATTTGAGTATGAAGTAATAAATGTTTAATGCTACTTTAGAACACTTCAAATACTGAATAAATAATAGGTGTAATTAATTACCTACTTACGTTTAATCTGCAAACAAAACTAAAAACCCCTCTTCGTCACCAAACGCAATGAGTGGAACGATAGCGCATTTATCTGCATCTGGAAGCGATCAGTCCTTAAATGTTATTGTTGCTGACACAACCATGAGCACAGAACCAATGATGGGCGAAAAATCAAAAAAGCAAGGTGCTGCTGGGAAAATTAAACATAAAAATTATCAGGAAGAGTCCGCGCCAGTTAAAGAAGGGCTGACAACTGTGGCGCACTGTTGTATTTTAGCTTTTGTTTCGCTTATTTTGTACTTGTGCTTCAAAGAGCCCTTCGATTTTTTTACGTGGCACCCATTATTGCTGTCTTTAGGGGTAAGTACCTACTTACTTTTTTTAATTGATTTTTCATTTGTCCAAAAGGGATCAATACCAAAATTCCATTGTTCAATTTTTAATTGTTATGTGAGTTTTAGGTTAGAAGTAAATTTATGTTGATCAACATAGTTAAAACTTGAACTTTAAAATTGTTTTTTACATTAAATGATAATTGAAATCAATAAGTTTAATAATTTGTATTTTCAGTGGATGTTCCTGATGAGTGAAGGCATATTGGCTCTTTCAAAGGAAAGTATACTGAGAAAGAAATTCAAAATAAGTGGCTCTTTAAAAATATTTTTGCACTGGACCTCCCTCACTGCTGCAGCTATATTAATCCTCATAGGTTTTCTGGTAATCACGATAAATAAAAACAGACTCAATAAATACCATTATACCAGTTGGCACGGGTTGCTGGGACTCATCGCTGTGATAACTTACATTCCACCATGCATCAACGGTGTGGCTACGCTCTATGGTAAAGACTTGAAGGCCTACTTGAACCCAAAAATCGTGAAGTTAGTTCACGTTGTCACCGGAACATTGTGTTTTGCTTGCGGGGGAATATCTCTTATTTTAAGTGTGTACACGAAATGGTTTGCAAGGAGAACGAATAGTAACCTATTCGTATTTTTACTTGGACTTGTTATTACCATATTTCCTGTCATTTGGGTTGTACAACGACCCTTAATTAAGTCCGTAACAAATATTTCCAAGATGTTTTCCAAACAAGATAAAGATTAAATATATATTTGTGATATTTTTAAAATACTTATTTTAGAAAAAAAAAAGTATGTGTCGAATAAATGTGACCGAGTTAGATAAATTATATAATATAGTGATATTAAAATATTTTTCTCATATGATTATTGTTTTATTGCTTTGTATGTCCACTACCACAAGTTTATTATTTGGCAAGTTATGTAACCTTGCAAATTTGAAAATATTGGTGCATACAGTGTTGCCTACCAGTCTTAGCACTAAATATGGTTACATAAAGTAGGGACATTTTGTCTGTTAGGATTTTTTTTTTCTTAAAATCAGATGGTAGTTAATTGTTTAATGTACTGCAATTTGGATAAAAAAGGAAGTTGTATATTAGACACATTCTAGTTAGTTTTACCATTTTAACACTAAATAAAGTGAGCACACACACCCAGTCTGGTGACAACTGACAAGTGATTCAGTTCTGAGGTATGTTTGTTTTATCCATTAACTGTTATAACTAACCCAGTTTTATTTTTTTTTAGAAATAAATTATCTCTAATATCAGCAAGCAGTCGACTGTAATACATAGATTTTTGGACATTAGCAGAAATATGTCACTGGATAATTCTACACTTTTGGTAGGTTATAGAGCATAAAAATTTCTTAATTTTAATCATTTAGAATAACTGCAATGCTATCATTTAAAAACTTGTATTAGAATTGTAATTCTACCGAATTGTCTTATTGTAGATAAAAAAACTGTCGTTATCACAGTTTTGCACGATCTAATCATAAATTTACACCTAACTATATCGTTTAGTGTTGTATTTCAAATATGTATAATGCAAAAGTTGTATGTTCCAATTATATAAATTGAATTATAAATAATAAAAATAATTATCTGAAGTATTTTGACAAGATTAAAATACTTGTAATGTCACTTGTCACTTTCAAAACCAAACAAGAAAGCTATTTTTTTGTTTTTAATAACTAGTAGGTTGAAGTAGATATTACTTTCATATTTTCAAACTTTTGAGGTTAATGCTTCTAGCATATACTCCTGCTCGAAGGGTTAATGTAATGACTTTGTCGCTGATTTTAAATCAGGACTTCTACAGGATGATGAAATTTTATTCAATTTTTCTATTCCGTTGTTGGATTATGAATATATGTAGTCATTCTACATTCTGAAATCACTTACAAAGTATCTAATTGTTTAACATTAAAATACCAAGTAAAATTACATAATTCAAAATTACTACAATATACACTGTGTCCCAGACCTGCAAGATATCTAGATTAATAGTGAGTTCTAGGTAAAGTTCAGATTTTACTGTTTTATTATTTTAATTATTTTATATTGTAAATCGACTCTTACGTGGTTCTGTGCGCGATATTTTGGTTCTCCTTTTGTTCCTATTTTGTTAATCTGCCTGTTTGTTTTCTTTTCTTTTCCTCAATTCTGACTTGTGTAAATACTTTTGTATGATTAACACCAATAAACAATGTCTAATGTCTATACTTTAGAAAATACATTCCTTTTGTCATTTTTGACGTGTAAACAAATATTTACATATACCCCCCTACCCGCCACAAGATTCCCCCATTTTTTTTAACTGCACAGTATGGCTTGTGATACGTAATTTGAAAGATAATATCATTCTCTTTACCGTAATGTAAAGTTTTCTGGAAAATTTTGGAAAACAAAGGAGTTAGCTATTTTTTCTTGAATACACAACTTTATTAAAAAAAATACAAACGAAAAAATAACACAATTATGTGATTATATGAATAAAAAATTTTAATAAATGTTCAAACTGTCTCCCACCCTCAATTTGGCAATATCCCAACCTAGAGTAGAACGACGTCACAACCTTTATTAAAGTTTCTCTAGTAATTTGTTGCGATTCCTCAAGTATTCTATTCCTCAAGTATTCTGTTCCTCAAGTCATAGCTTTGTTTTATAAACATTTTTTCCCCAAAAGAAGTAACCTAGGGGTGTTATATCAGAAGAACATGCTGGCCATTCAATAGCACCTCTCTCCCAATCCATCTGTTCAGAAACATTTAATCCAGGAATTGCCAAACTCGAATAGCAAATTGAGGTGTTGTACCATCCTACTGGAACCATATTCTGTCAAAATTAATGTAGTAAGTTTTGTAAAGCAGGTACAATTTGACTACGTAACATTTGTTCGTACTTTCGGCAATTTAAGTTACCTTCAATTACAAATGGACCAATAATGGTAGTACCAATAATACCAGCCCAGTATTTATTTTTTGAGATCTCTGGGTGTGTTCTTCTCTCATCCAGTGAGGATTTTGATCAGTCCAGTAACTAAAATTGTGATGATTGACATTCGTCGGAAAAACAAATATTAAATATAAAGTTACGGTCTTAGTCAACTTTTGCCATTGTTGTTTCACAGAAATCGAGTCTTCGATCATAATCATCTTGCAGTAAATCTATTTTGTAAGGTTTATAGGAGTTTATTTTTAAAATTCGGCAAATAAATGATCTACTACTTGCATCATGTTCTCTAGCAGCCTTACACACAGAAGTATGAGGATCTTCCACAAAACCCTGCAATACTTCAAAAACGTTATCGTTATTAGTTGCAGTTCTTGGGAGTCCTGATCGGGGCTTTTCTTTCACAGTTCCAGTTTCTTCAAATCTTTGTATTGTTCTGCACGCAGTTGATTTAGATACTGGTGTTTGGTGTTCTGTTTGGAAATGTATCATTAAATAAATGAACCACTTGATCAAATGACCTTTTGAGATCGCCATATCCTCTCATCATCAAAATCGTTATTCTTTCTCTTTCATTTAGTGCCACATTTGATTCAATATTTAATGAACAAATTTGACAAATCGAACATTTTTTTGACAAAGTTACTTTATTATAAAATGATAAATGCTGTTTCCATGATTATTAGCCAACAAACTTTATTATTATTATTAAATAACTTTTTGATTTGGGGTTTAATGTTGGTTCAGTTAAAAAATAGCTGTAACTCCTCTGTTTTCTAAAATTTTCCAGAAAACTTTACATTAGGTACCTACAGTAAAAAGAATGAAATTATCTTTCAAATGACGTATCACAAGCCATGCTGTGCAATTTAAAAAAAATTGGGGTAACCTTGTGGCGGGTAGGTGGGGGTAAAGGTAAACATTTGTTTACACGTCGAAAAATGACAGAAGCAATGTATTCTCTGAAGTATATCTGAACTTTACCTAAAACTCCATATTTTGCTGTTCCGGGACTTTTTAGGACGCAGTGTATACAGGATGTCCCGGTACTTGATACAAAAAAGTCGAGTACAAATAGATGAGGTCAAAATAATATCAGTTTTTCATATAAATTTTTTTCATACAGGCCTTCGTTAACAAGTTACGAGCCCTCAAAAATGAAAATTAATAGTTATTTTTATTTACAGTCTCGAAACTATTAACTTAAGCATGGTGCAAATTTGGTGATTGTAACAAATGCGTACAGTGTGTTTTTGATGTTGTAAGTGAAACTACATCATGCCAGGGACGGATTATGCCCAATGGTAAAAACTCAGAATTTTGGCACAGATACGATCTCAATCTGCCTGTATCAAAAGTAAGTTCCCTGAAGAATTTACCTATGATAATACCCTCTTGGTTCAACTCGGTAAAATTAGCAGTTTAGGACAAATTTGCGATTTTATGTCACTGTATACATATTGAGTGGCGCCTCCACCATTTTTTGTTTTTAATTTTTATTTGGACATAATTACTATGTTAGAACCGTACATGTTTTTAAAATAAGAGCCTAGAAAATCTTACTATCTGCTAATGAAATTTTCGCTAACAAAATTTGACAAACACACTTTATATGTAACACAAAATATAAAAACAAAACAAGAATAAGTTAGAGTAAGTTAAAAAAATAATTTAAAAGAGAAAAAACTATCAAAATACATTTTCATTATATGTATACACCTTCCACCTGTACAAGTCTACGAATCTTATTTGTTTGTACACGAAAAAGCATTTCTGGGGTATATCTAATGGAAATTAATTCTTTCCAATGGAAGAAGTCCATCGGGTTAAAGTCTGGAGAATGTGGTGGCCATGAAATTGGGCCTCCTCTCTCAATCCATTTATTATTAAACACAATGGATAAATAATTTCGTACATCAATATTGAAATGAACCATGAACCAAACGTTTTTTCGGGTGTCTAATCGAACATTGTCTAATAGTCGCTGCAAATTATTTTGCAAAAACTCCAAATATCGATGTCCATTCAGACGTTCCTCGAAAACGTATGGACCTATAAAATTATTACCCTTTTTTGTCTACAAACAAATAATATTCATAGCCTTAGGATGTATGTGGAGGTGGAAGGTGTCCATATTGAAAATGTATTTGGATAGTTTTCTTTCTTTTAAATTATTTTTTTAACTTTAACTTATTCTTGTTTTGTTTTTCTATTTTGTATTATATGTAGTGTTTGTCAAATTTTGTTAATGAAAATTACATTAGCAGACAGTAAGATTTTCTTGGCTCTTATTTTAAAAATATGTATGCTTCTAGCATAGTAATTAAGTGCAATTAAAAATTATAAACAAAAAATGGTGGAGACGCCGCTCGATGTACATTGTGACAAATATTTCCTAAACTTTTAATTTTACTGAGTTGAACCAAGGGGGTATTATCGTTGGCAAATTCTTCAGGGAACTTATTTTTTATGCAGGTATAAGGAATGCATCTCTCTAATAGATGTTTTATAAAATAATGTAAAATTTTAGGAAATGTACCAATAAATATTGCACATAATATAAAATTCTACACTTACCTTTAACTTTACGATTATATTCTGTTGTCTTGCAGCAACGCAAAAACACATTAACTTCAAAATGGGACATTGTCTTTGACGAAGCCCCCAAGGAATGGATCGGATTCAAGCCAGCTTTGGGAGACCACATATACACCTGTTATGCTTGTCGCCATATGTGAGTTACCAGATTAATAACAATGATTTATAAAGAAAATCGGTTTTAGGTTTTCTTGTTTGAGGTCACTCCAGGATCATGTTAATCGAAGAATAATAGTCATACAATACAACTGCTCGGGCTGTTTAAACCAAATATTGACATTTTACAATCGTTGCTCCTTTTTATTGCACACTCGAAAGCACTACAGTTTAAACCAAGGCAAAATTAATCTCTGCGAGATTGACATCTTTACTCTACCAGTTTCATTGGCAGGTTTCTTACCTCACCCAAACATTCCGATACTTTATGCCACAGAGGAAGAAACGATACCAGAAAACGTATACATTAACACACAGTTTTACAGTCCGGACATCAGCGAGAGGGGTAAGCAAATAATAACGTTAAAACCCAACGATATTGTATTTAGACAGGCTGAAAAATCTTTGGCCTTGAAGCAGATTTGTGCCAATATTCCTAAATGTGAATTCGTCACTCTGGAATACCAAGAAGTGTTTAGACAGCAAAATTTACTAACAGAAGAAAACAATAATACAAATAACAATTTGGAAACCGTGGACATAAAGCAAGAACCTCCAGAGGAAGAGCCTGTACAACCAGTCATCATGCCTGTGATATCAAAAGTAGAATCGGTTAGAGAAAAGAAGTTTCGACTGCCCAGGTGCTTGGATTGCAAAACTTTCCAAAAGGATACCATGGCGGAGCACTACCTAGGCACGAATAAACCATTCGACAGTTCTCTGAAGTGTTCAATTTGTAAATTCATCGCTGCCACTAGTTGTTCCCTAAAAGCACACATAAGAATCCATGAAAACGTACCCCCATTTGTCTGTCCTGACTGTGGGAAGGACTTCCCGACTTGGGCCATGCTACGAAAACATATGGATGATGTTTGCTTCCACTTAGCCAAACACGTGAGATTCCGTTGCCCCGGTAAGAGATGTGGGAAACTTTTTGCTGTCAGTGCGACATTTGCTTTACATTTCCAAACACACCTCAAGTGTTATTTTGCCTGCTCAATTTGCGGGACCACCGTCTTTAAGGCTGAAGATGCCGAAGCTCACAAACGTTCACACGAAGAATTCTGTACATTAAATAAAATATATGAGTGTCCGCTTTGCCCCCATATAGGTACCCTAACTGAAGACAGTTACAAAGCGCACGTTAATATACATGCGACTGACATTAAGAGATGCATGTACGTCTATATGTGCAAGCATTGTCGCAGCTACTTCCGTTCGACGACAACTTATGCAACTCACTTGCTGAAGTGTAGCTCTAAACAGACCGTGCACGTAAGGAAGTACGACGTCCCCAGATACGTGACGAGAGAGTGCGAAAAATGTACCAACAAGATAATCTTCAACGAACAAAAGCCCACTAAGTTTTGCAATAAGTGTAGACAGCAAAACGAGAGTCCTAAACCCGTCTTAAGCAAGAGGTACTTCTGTATTTTGTGTAACAAGCAAATACTGCCTCAGGAGAAGAGTTATCATAGAAAGCAGTGCAAATACGGAAGGCCTTACATTGTCATTCAGAAGCTGACAATGGAAGACGTAGAGAACTTGACATTAAGCTCGAGTGGAAGCGATTTTGATTCGTCTTCTACCCCTAGATCTGGGAAAAGCAACAGGCGCAGGTCTAGCGATTCGTGGAAAACGGACGATAGTACGAAGAAAAAACGTAAACGTACTTATAATCCGAGCGTTACCAAGCAGAGAAAGACAGAAAAAGAGGTTGAACTAGACTTAACTGCCGAGGAACCTATGCAGTTCGATGGAACATACCGTTGCAAGTTATGCGACTATGAAAATATAGATCGGGCTGAATTTCATGCACATGTCAAGAGGCACAGGGATATTTCCACGGCCTACCAGTGTATGGAATGTGCCGAATGTTTTGTCGTAAAACCATCTCTCATAAAACACCTTTTGCATTTTCACAACATTTCAGACCACGAGTCGTATTTGAAAGAAAATGACTGTTTCGATGTAGACGCCGTAAAAGAACTGGAGAGTGTCATGAGATTGGCGCCTGGGGAATCCAAAGAGCCGGTTAAGGAGAATCAGTGCAGGGTGTGCCGTCAAGAATTCAAGGATGCTCTGTCGTTGAACAAACATTTCAGAATTCACGGCATGGCATTTTTGTTAAGGAACAGCAAATAGTTTGTTGTTCTTCATTTTGTTAACTACTTAAGTTAAATGTGATGTTCCTTGATTGTTTTACATTTGTTCAAATTATTTGGGTTAATATTTTACGAATGTTGTCCGAGTGATTATTGATTCTATTGAATCATAACAATTACAAACTATTTTCTAAATTTATAGCCCAGATTCTTAGGACTTAAAATTTGTTCTCCGTCAACTCAACTTTTTTATCTCGGATGTTTAACAACATATCAAAAAATAAATGTCTTTAAGAAAGTTAGTTTATAATAAATAATGGGTACCATTTTTTAATGAGTAGGATTTTCTGGCTCCATGAAAATATTTTTTATAATTGCTAGAATACCTTTTTTCAATAAATAATACTTGGAAAATAATTTTTGAATTTTAATTTCTTGTGGGAAACTAAATAAAATATCTTTTTCGTCTTTAAAATATTAATTATGCAAATTCCTCATTTATTATTAATGAAAAACAAATTATAGCACTTGCAGCGGTTTTTTAATTTATTCTAGAAAGTAAGTTAGAAATAAATGAGTTCTGAGAACTTGAATTACTGACAAAATTAAGTTTTAGCGAGTGTCATAATAGTTTTGTCAGAATATGGATTGCTATTATTGTACTTACCGTTTTAAAAAGTTTACATAAATTTCATATAGGAAGGCAGCATTTGATTCTATGCATTTAATAATAAATACAAATAACTTTGTACAAAAGTATCTAAACAAGGTGTTCCAATTAGAACTTCCCACCTAGAAAATATTGAAAAAAAACCCGACACGTCGCTTTTCTTTTCAAGGGCATTTAAGCAGGGCATAAAATACTCTTAAATTTAAAATGGCACCCTTTGTTGAGTTAAACCTCATTTTAAAGGTTTTTCAATTCTGCTAATGACGACATAGGACTTTTAAACACCGTGGCACAAAAAAGTTTTGGCAGTTTAAATTCGTCCTAATGGACACTTGTGGCGCCCTCTAAAAGATACAACGAAATCATCGATAAATTCGAATTTCTCATCCCAAAAAACACCCGATACGAAATTTCACGAAATTAGCTCGAAGTAGTTGAAAAATATTAAAGAAAATGTTATTTATTTTTTCAACTTTAACACCCTGTATCGAAAACTAAGCGTTTATGAGCAACATTATATATGACTTTTCCTCATTACTTTTCGTCGTAGAATCTAGTGGTAAGCTTTGGTACATTCTTTAACGGACACCCTGTATAAGCATTTAAAACAGAAATACATCAAATTCTTAGTGACTAAACAAAAAGAAACCTTTTAAAATGAGCTTTAATTAAATTTCATAAAAACAATCTTAAACACTAGCTCAGAAAAATTTGTGAATCTTCTGAATCCAGAGCAACATTATGCTCTTGGTTATCCTGAACTTATTCAAAATATTTATATTCAAAAATTGTAGGCTATTATTTAAAATAATTTATATTCTACAGGGGAAGTTTGACTGCCTTAATTTTAACAGATGATAGAATATATTAAAATAAACAAAAACACTTTTTGGAACTTCTTTATGCTTAATTCTAAAAAATAATTAACCTAATAAATTTAAAATTCCATAAAAATCGGTTTAACACGAGGTACTAAGGTGTCCAGCAACCACCAAAACGCAATTCAGTTGGTATCTGGATTCGACTCTGTCGGAGTGTTTCTTTCATACCACTATTTCCTTTTCTTGAGGTGTGCATTGAAAATGGTGGTGGACATTTTGAGCATATGCTGTAGTTTGTTTTGTACTTGTGCGTTTAAAAATTACTGAACTTTGCTTTTTGGTAAGCACCTAAATTATTTTTAATACATATGATTATTTGGGCGAAGTGAATCTTTGGGTACTTAAATTACATATTTTTCAAATACGTAATTTGATTAAAAGTTCAGTTTCTGTTTTAAGAGATTCAAAATTACTAAAATTCAAGCTATTTAAGTACTACAAAATCGATACATTTTATTTTATTTATTTAAAAACTGGAAAACTATTATCTTGAAATTTACTAAATGTTTCACAATAATAGCTGTTTACATTTTTTCCATAGGACGTCTGCTGCGTGTACACGTGGTGTGCATCAGCAGGTTAAACGCTGTTGTTACGTTGTGATGAAACTCACCAATATTAATACTCGCTGTATTTTGAAAACTGTTAATCTAACGCTCCTGTAATATACAACTTTTTTCTCATTTATGATTACTCTATCTCATGCTGAAGTACCTAGTAGCAGTCAAACTTCTTGTACCCTATATATTGGCAATAAGAAAAGTGGCTAGAACTCTTTACATCCTAGATTGTAAAAAGTCTGCGATTTTCCAATTTTTTTAATTATATTTATCCACTTTTTCCATGAACTTTACATTTCTGGTAGACATTCACAATTCCATGTTAGTGAGCCTAGATGACAATCTGACTATGCATGTTTTGGATATCTCGGAAATTATAAAAAAAAAATATTTAAATGAGGAGAGTATTAGATATTCTGTTAACTTATAGATCTCATAGACTAACTCTAGCACTACAAGTTTTCAAGTTATTTAGGAAAAAAAATTATTGTCTCTCACAATTTTTTCAAAAAATATCGCTCTAGACAGGTTTTTCTTTCAAAATCTGAGAAACCATTATCATTTTCATGTCAACTTTATTTCTTATTAAGAGCGCCATGTAGAGTTAATTGCTATTAGTGATGTCAAATACAGTTACTTTTTAGTACTCAGAGTATTCGTTACTTTTATCTTGGGTACTTGTTACTTTGTATTCGTAAACTGAGCACAGTTATAAGTATAGTCCGGCCGGCATGATATGCAGCTTTTTTTCTCGCCGACTTCCCGCAAAAGTCAACCACACGCTCGAAATACCCTACACTGTCAATATTAGCAAATAAACTTTTATCCATCCTGGCTACATCTGTTCCAGTTCCAAGTGAACGTATATTCTCTAAGGCAGGTCAAATAAAACAGAACGGCGCAATATTAAAATCCAAGTATGTAAGCAAAATCATTTTTCTAAACTGCAATGATTTTATGTTTATTCATAAAAATTTGTAGTAGTAGGCATTCACACAAAACAGTAAACAGTTTTGAATTGATAAATTACGTTATTTGTAATTTTTATAAGACAAAAGTAGAATATATATTTTTTTGTGTTTACAATAAATAAATTTAGAAAATAATTATTTATTTATTTAAATGTTAATAAATATATAAATAATTTAAGTTTTGTTTTTATATATTATTTACGTTCTTCAGGTGCATAGGTATCTACTATACTGCAGCAAACTACGAATTAAATAATTACATTGATTAATTACTGATTAAATATATTTTACGGCTGTTTAATTAAATGTCAACAAAAAGGTATTTCATCTTAAGTAACAATCCTATAGGTTGACGACTACGCGACTACTTTTTTCTTACGATATTCGTCGAACGAGTACATGATATATATTCCGAGACCCGATACAAAATATTGTATCTGTGAGCCAAATCTGAAATCCACGTGTTCAGTAAATATTCCGAACCGAATCCGAGTATCGTGATTACATGTATCGAAACTTGGAGAAGAATCTCTACTTAAAAAGTATCAGTATCGAATACTTTTCTCATCGATTACTCAGTATTCGTTACTTATTCAAGTAACGGATAAAAAGTAATGAATAATTACAATATTGACATCACTAATTGCTATTGTTGAAAAAAGCATTTTTTGAAGCATCTTCCGCAATGTCATAAGTACTCAAAAATTTATTGTGGAGGCTGTAAGAAAGTATACACTTATCTTTTGATGTATTATCTGTCCTGAAAATATTAGGAGACAATTTAGAACCATCTTGTTTATATACAACGTAAAAACACCCTGTACAAAATTTTGTTGTATCACGTGATACTCCTAAATGACAGCAATTTTTTTTCAAACTTAAAAATCAGAGAGTTAAGATGGAGCGACATTTATAATCAATAACATTTGATTGTACAGCAATGAATAAAAAACTAGTCAAACCATTGCTGTATAGGTTTCTGATATATGGCTAAAACAAATTTCATTTTAACTTCAATTAATTTTCCATTGTAAAACTAATGAAATTTGGCTCATCCTTCAGCAGACGTTCTATATATATAGTTAGTCTGTTTTCTTCTCATATAACTCACTTAACCATTTTTGGACACTCTGTAAAGTATATTTTTATGGGATGTTATTTTCTTTATACTGACGCAGAATTTTTTTTTTTTTTCATCACACTATAGATAAGTGGTGACGTATGTGGTTGTATAAATTTTTTGCACGTTTTAATTGATTTTTTTATTCCCTTTCCAACCATATGACCTTTGTATGTGTTTGCATAACGAAATTTTTGAGAAAAAATGAGAAAACTTTCAGCCTTTGACTTTAGTTTACGGTACTCGCTTTCTAAATCAAATCAAATAGAAGGCGCTGGAAAAACAATTTTGCATACCACTATCTGTCACATATTAGTTGCTGTCACCTTTCAACTTATAACAAAATGAATGATTTTAATGAATTAGTTGATATACTGCAGGTTTATTATGAATGTAGAAAAAACAGTGTGAGTGTAGTGACTTTACATTTATATCGACGTGATCCTAATAGAATTTTTCCTAACAGAAGAAAGTTTCGTAAACTTGAAGCAAATCTAAGACAGTTAAGGTATAGGAAAAATATGTATGTAACAATAACTTAGTAATATTAATAAACAAAAAAATTGCACAATACAATATTAAAAATACAAACAAAAAATGTAAAATGAAGAGTGCAATTTAAAAGTACCGTTCAAACTGTTGTTCATTTCTAAATGCATTTAATTTAACGTTATGTGGAATATTATTTTTAATTGCGGTACTAATTCTGTCTTTCAACTAGGTAGGGTTAGATAAACTTCATTTTTAATAAACCCCAGAGAAAGAATGGATCTTGGGAAATAATATGGACATACTCATTAACTGTTAATTCTTCTAAATACTCTTGTAACTGATCTCTCAAATAATTGTTACACCGTTCACCAAAGAAGTATGGCCCTAATATTTTTTAACCAAGCATACCACACCACATTAATATGAAATCGATTTTGAAAATTTCTTTCTGTAATAATTCTAGGATTATCATATCTCCAATGGCATGATGTATCGCGGTTAAACATGCCGTTGTTAGAAAAATTACTTTTATCTGTCCATAAAATCATTTTTGGGGAGTTGGGATTATTATTTGCATTATTTAAGTAGCAGCGACAAAACTGTATTCTTTGTTCAAAGTCAGTTTCATGAAGATGTTGAATCAAATTCACCTTGTAAGGAAACAATTTATGTTTATGTAGTTTTAGACACAACGTACTCGGTTAAATTATGATTCCTGGCTAATTTCCTCATGATTCCTATTCCTATTAGGATTTTCTTGCACACTTAATAGTAAATCTAATTCTTGATTTTCATTGCAAGCATATCCTAAAGAAACACTTTTCTTCTTTAGCATTCCACACTGTCTTAGATTTGCTTCAAGTTTACTAAACTTTCTTCTGTTAAGGAAAATTCTATTAAAATAACATTGTCGATGTAATTGTAAAGTTGCGACACTGTTTTTTCTATATTTATAATAAATCTGCAAATTCTTCATTAAAATCATTCATTTTGTTATAAGTTAAACTTGAAAAGTGACAACAATTACAAACTGATATGTGACAAAACAGCCGTATACAAAATTGTTTTTCCAGCGCCTTCCATTTGATATGATTTAGAAAGCGAACACCGTAAACTAAAGTCAAAGGCCGAAAGTTTTCTCATTTTTTCTCAAAAATATTATTACGCAAAAACATATAAATTTTATATTATTGGAATGAAAATAAAAAAAAATCTATGAAAACGTAGAAAAAAAATTATACAATGCCATTTAATCGAGCTGTACAGTTTTGGAAAATATGTACAGTTACCTAAATGTCCTATCTAAGACATTTCTATGTGAAAAAAATAAAATTTTATTTGAAATAAATGTCTCAATAAAAATCATTTTGTTTAATTAATAAAAGTGTATGAAACATTTTTAAACAGTAAAATGTAATCTTTGGGATGTACGTATGGTTTGTGTTAATTGAAAAATAAAACAATTTAAATTCAGCTCAAACCGTATCTTCAATAAAATACTTATCTTTAATGTCTCTCTAATTTTCTCTGTATAAATAAATACTTTTTCTTAAGTTCGATCTCTGATTTATTCTGAATTTTATATGTAATAATCATAGCCGAGTCATTAAAATTACACTCTTCTCACATATTCCTCACAATCAAAAGAAGCAATTAAGTCCCGATATCGAGAGGATAGAATATTCCGGTCAGCAGCCATATTTTGCAGATTATTCTCACTGAAATAAAATGTATTATGTATCCATATTGTGAATTCATTTCGCTAACTTACGATTTGAACTTATTTATCTTTTCTAAAGTTTCTGTTATATGCATTTTCCACTTTTCAATTTCGGTCTTAACGTTTTCAACGTATTTTGTACGGTAGCTTAACTTAGTTTTCTTTTCAATTTTAAGCTTGCTTTCGTTCTCGCGTCCTTCAACTATCGACCTCCTACGAGTCCTACGTACTTTATCTATAGGTAAATTATTTCGGGGCATACTTTTTGTATAAACCTTTTTAATCTCCAATACTTGTAATGAATTAGTTAATGTCTTAAGTGTCGTGTTTTTTGTAGTTTTGTTCGTTTTGTTAACATTTGTAGGTTACGTTATGACGTTTACTAACCACTGAATAGAGTTCTATTCTGTGACCATACTATAGGCTATATTTCGCGACTGAATATTGGTGAATATCTGACATGTACTTACTACAGAGACTCTTGTATAGATAGAAATAGTAATTATTACAATGACTCTATCTCTTTTGATCTTAGTTATCAAATGGTAGTTTAAATCTCTTCATTTACTCATACTACTTATACTACAACATATGATTTCACTCGCCTTATCTAGTTAGTTCTAGTTACATGATGTCATAATTACAACTTGACAGAGTTTAGCGTGAGCCGTTATTTTTGGCGATATCGGTGGCCTAAATGATTTGGGTCCGAGGGGGACTATTCGTCTACCCTGCCTCATTGTTGTAGGCCTGGACAGTGGACAGCCTCGTGAAGATAGGCCCCATCCGTCGTCGACCCCGACCACAAGCGTAGGCGGTGTAAGCGCCCTAGATTATATGTAAGCGCTTTGTGGCACCTCTTCTTGTCCTGGCTAACTCCCGCCGGCAGGGGTCCTCTTCTTGTCTTTTCTCTTCTTTCTTCGCCGGCTTGTCTAACCCCCCGGGGGGTAGTCATCGTCGCGAGCGCCTGTGGCGGTGCCATTCGCGCTCAGAGGATGGGTTTTTGGGAGTAACGTTGTAGCGTGGGATGCACGCGTCCCTCGAACCAAATAAAACCCCATTCACAATCAATTCGCGAGCGAAGTCGGACTTGGCCACGCGTGCTTACCTTTCGCATTTCAATGTAGCCGTTCAGAATAAAATCTCGAGCTGGCAAACGAGTTAAAGTGCGCGTGAAACCTCGCAAGCTGCAAACTTTGACGTCCGTGCCGACTTCCGTGCCGATTACGGGATATGCGCAATATGATTGTTTTAATAAAATGTCAACATAATTTTAATTTGATGGAATTTTGAAATTAGTTTAACCATTTTGTTGATTAACCACGATGGAAGAATGGGAAGAATGGAAAATTTGTTATCCCCTCTTTTACTGGTAGCAATGCTGTTGTTGTTACTAAAAAAAGACAGTTATTATAGCAATTCGAGCAAAAAAACTCCATTAAAAAACTTCTGGGTTTTGGGGGAGTAAGACCAATTCTAATGGCCCGGAGAAATCATGAATTTTATGAAAATTTTCTTCGTGAAGCTCGTTTCAGTGAGCCCAACATTTTTTTTTTCAATTTTATAATCTGTTAGATTTATCATAGTGGTCTGTAATTGGAGATACACTGTAATAAAAATTCGTCGCTAAACTCGGGAGCAGCTTGGAATTGGCTCATTTTAATTATTATTATGGATTATTATTGTACATTTTAGTTTAAAATTTTGAAAACAAACAAAATATAAATATAACCTAAAATATACAGCTAAAACAGCTGATTTAAGTTGAAGCCAACGCGCATGCACCAAGTGTCGCCTGAATTTTATTCTGAAGGGTCAAATCCGTGCAGACTTTCGTGTCGAAGTGTAAGTTGGCTGGCAAATTGATTCTGAATGCACCTTGACTCGGTGGACTGGTCCGTGGAAGGGTACGTTATTGTAGCGCAGAGTTGTTCCGCGGCTAACGGACGTGACTTCACGGGAACAGGTTTTTGTCATTTATCTCTTCTTATATTCTTGGTCCTGACTGTTCCTGAAACTTAAGGGGTTAGCGTGAGAGGAGGGAGATATGGGTATTGGGAAGGTCATCCCGGCAAAGAATATTAACTATTCTTTGATCCCGGGTCGAATAGATGGTGTCTAGGTCGTTTGTGTTTGTCTGTTGCGCCTGAGGCAGGGATTGTCGTGTCTCGTGGCCTCATCAAAGCACTTTTCGTTTCGTTTATTCGTAGTTTGGGTGGCGTTCGTGTATTGTAAGTCGCATAAAATATCTGCATTTTTTACGTACCAGGGCGAGGCGGTGGCCGAGCGTAGGGCAATGTTCTCCACACCCTGGATTGACTTTAAATGCCTTTTGCCGCGTGTACCTACACTGCAAAAGCCAGCTGCGGTTATTTCAACCACCTTGATAAGCGTTCGCTTATTCCTTAAACCTCTCGATGGAGCCGGCACAATCGGAATCAAAGTCTTCGTCGGAGGTTCGCAGCCTCGGACGGTATGCAGGTCTCTGGAGGAGCCTGAAGGTATCGCTGTTTCGACGCAGGGGGCGATCGAACAGGATCTTCGCCTTAGGTTGGGCTACCTCGGGCGGTACGCAGGTCTCTGGAGGAGCCTGGAGTATCGCTGTGTCGATGCAAGAGGCTATCGCACAAGATCTTCGTCGGAGGTGGTCAGTCTCGGATGGTATCGCAGATCTCAAGTGGATCCTGGAAATTTACAGCTGTTTTCGATGCAGGGGGCTATCGAACAGGGTCTTCACCTCAGGCTAGACTACCTCGGGTGGTATATCTCGTAAAGCGAGTAGTGGTTGCTAGGCACAATTAATATCAGGTCGAGGAATGGCAGCCTCGACGGAAGCCTCGTGAAGCGAGCCTGTGAGCTTGAGCTCCAAAGTTCTTGAGCTTGATGACAGGGTTTTTTCAATCAAACCGTGGAAGATATGTTAACAGTTTTATTGAATAGAATTAACAGACAAGAATTCCTATTAACATATACAAGACATTTACCATAGATATCGTTTGTTACAATTCGATTTACATCGCTATCTTCGCGCTATGCACTCCCACTAATAGACTGCAAACGTCGCAAGTAGACGTTCGTTCGCTTTCTGGGGATTTCCATACTTTTGGCGGACTGGGCTTGAATTGTCCGCCAAAATTTCCAACTAAATTTATCCATCGTCCCCGTCAACGTCGGGACTCGTTCCCCTCTGGCCTCTCCGGCTAGTCGATGTAGGCGTCGGGGATTTTGGAGTTTATTCCGGGTTTGGGAAAAATCTCTACCCGCGGTCTCGGCTTGGGCTGCCGAGCATCGCATCCAACCGCCAGAGCGGTGGGACCTTCGGAAGACGGTCCTTTCGGCCCAAAGACGGGGAAATTGGAAACATCGGTGAAATTTTCCCCGTCTTCGTAAAAGGGCTTACGGAGGTCTTATTACTGGATGGATCGTATTGAAATTTTGTGAGTAGATGCACGGCATGACATAGTGCCGGGGTTGGAGGGTTCGGCCGAGATCGCGCGGATACTTTCGGCGGCAGCTATAAGGACGTGAAAACCTATTATGGCTTAACTGGCCGTTAGTAGTAGCACGATTCGGCTCGAATTTGGATATGACAACCACCTAGGGATACTCTAGTGTGGTTGGAGGGTTCGGCCGAGATCGAATGAGCGGAACGGCTGAAAACGCGGAAAACGTGAATTCCGCGTTTCCCCGTATAACGGCGTTTTGGCTCATTCGATTCGGACGAAAATTTAGTAAGATAATGCTAGCGACTTGAGGAGTGCTGCATTAAATTTTGACACCGATCGCTCAATAACTTTTAGAGTTATTGGCGATAGCGTCCTTAACCATTTCGAAAGAGTGGTGGAATTTCTGATGACTGTTGCCAAATATCGCCTTGAAGCGTCCCGGGGTTCGACTGCAGTTTGCGAGAGTAGCGGCAGTGGACACTGCGCGCCGGGATGGCAGACCCAGGCGAGATCGGTCGCGATGCTACGTAATTCTGCCTACGATTTATAATGTAATCCTTATAACTCACAATGTTGGTACAAATATTACAGACGGAGAACTATAACAAATTAATTAAATCTGAAGACTCTCATAGAGGCTTTTTCATTTTGCCCGGCAGACGGCGATTGAATTTGCAACCGTGACGGGTTTTTAGTTTGGATTGGAAAGATAGGTGAATATGCTTATTTCGCCTCCTTCCCAATTCAGCGGTCCCCGGCATATCCGTAGGTACAAGGCTACCTCTATGAATATACTGGGTGTTCTGAAATCCTGAAGCTCGCTCGAAGGGTGGAGTACGACAATATAGACTTCTACTACTACGTTCACTGCGGTTTATAAGTGCACTATTCATTTCAATATTTTTAATCACAAAAACACAACAAAAAAAGCAGAATATACGTTAACATGAATTAATTTCAGGAGTTTATTAATTTATTAAAGGAATGAATTAAATAAAAATGATTCAGAGATATTATTCTTATTAACCTCAAAACTAACATAAGGATCGATTTTCAACAATTATTATTTAACTATCTTGTATTTTTTATGTGAACTTCAATGTAAAAGCAACAATTTTTAAATGAATTTACGTTTACTTTCCTCATTTAGAAATGCGAATAAAAAATCGATTTAAAATTTCTTAAATTCTAACATAAAAGGAACATGTTTGGAAATGTAAAATAATCACTGCTTGGGACACCCGGTATACATCACTCAGGTGGTCTACGTGTGCCTCCGGCCAACCATTCAGCCCATCCCGTGGAGATGACAGATTTGAGGTCGATGCGTTTTATTTATGTTAGTACCTACTAATTGTAAGATACATTTTTCTGTTAAAGAAACCCACACAGCACAATGACATTCGTAGGATGTACTGAGGATAACTTTTCAGGATGTATAGGATATCCTCGGATAGGTACACGATCACCTCAGGATGTACCAGGGATATCCAAATGGAACCGCCTGGGATTTGCTCTTGATCAGAGGATCAAATGAGGACGTCCTAGGCTTTACTGTGTATGCCCTCAGGACATCAGCCGGGCTATTGTCAGGTTATCAGTGAATCAAATGAGGACAACGTAGGCTTTACTGTTGATGTCGTCAGAACATTAGCTGGGCTATTTTTAGTACTTATTGGGCTAATAAAAAAAATTACAGGGTGGTTTTAATATTTCAATAGATCAAATACGTACCTAATTTCCAAAACATTTGCTTGCCATTTCCACTCCATCTAATACTTTTTATTCAAAAAAAATATTGACACAAAAAAATTAAAAGGGAAATCTGATCATTTATCTATTTGGTTATAAAAATATGTAATATGAGATTTGATTTCTTTGAATACCACTGGAATAAAAATTAACAATACAATATTTTGGATCTGTTGATTAGATTCGTCATAAATACGTGAAGGGTAGTTTTAAAATTCTCTTTTCATGAGATTTAAAGACATTTTAACATTTTTCTGTAAGAAGTATTCCATCGTTGATACATGTATGTATTTTTTAAACATTTTACTCACCCACTTACTAAAATCTGACGAAAAAATTCTGTAACATAGCCACCGGCAGATATTTTTCTGTTTAAGATTACATACAAATTTTCAGAAACATCTCCAAATTATTTAGATATACACATCAATGGTTTATATTATTCATAAAACTGGTTTGAGGCATTTTTTTAAACTGGAACAAATAAGACCTAAAGTACTTCATGAGAATAAAATATAAACTTTAATAGCACTTATTTTTAAACTGAGTTCTTGAATAAAAAAATTAAAAATTAAACTGATTTTTTTTATTCATTGCACATTATACCTAAATATAAACTTAAAAAGCAAATTTCACATGTACTTATATATATATATATATATATACATATATAATCAAATCTTTCTATGATACATATATAAACCAACTTTTTTATTACAGAATATAAACAAAGTTATATACACCACTAAGTTATTATTTGTATTAAGCGGCCTACACACGGGGCAATCTGCAGGGACCAATTTGTAGGGTGTTAAGAGTAGAGGAAATTGGGTATGACTCTACACACGGTCCAATCGGTCAGTATGGGAATTTGTACCATGGCTCCAAATCTGTGATTTTGTTAACAAGACGTATTTATTTGCTCCACGAACCACATCTAGATCAGATCAGATCTAGAATCAACCTGTTATTGTTCCAATTGCGCTACACACCATACAATATATGCAGGGCGTAAGGGTGGGGAGCAGGGCGATTGTATGGTCTGCCGAGACAACTTCCCGATATCGGATAGTCGTAAAATAATTGTGACAATTCGCCTCTACGTGAGGCAATCTGCAGGGTCCCTGCAGATTGGACCCTGTAGATTGCCCCGTGTGGAGGCCGCTTTATATGTATAACTATTCCTTATGTGCTGTTAATCAGGTCTCTTCTTATAGTTTCTCATTTGCATGCCGTGGCATGTTTTAATGCTTTCTCCATTATCTTTTTCTGGGCAATTTTTTGTGTAATGTCCTTATGAAATTTCAGCTGTAAAACGAGTGTAATGACTGCGATTACATAATAAAATACAGGGAAAATATCAAACATCACCATCTGACTGATAAAAATCCTTCAGGCATTCAAATGTACAGGTGTAAGGACTGCGATTATGAAGTCCTTGTGAAATTCCAGCTGTAAATTTTTATAAAAAATATGTTAATAATACATTTACATTGTAGACAAGTGACAAAACAAAAATTTTCATTAAATACATTTAACAAGACTATTCTAATTTCATTAACTATGCATTATAATATGTTGATATAAAATTTAAGCTATTCTAATAGATAATACGTAATTCTGCCTACGATTTATAATGTAATCCTTATAACTCACAATGTTGGTACAAATATTACAGACGGAGAACTATAACAAATTAATTAAATTTATGGGTTACAATACAATCCTTTGTCAGAACACCTATATACAACACATTCAGAACTAAAAATTATAGATTCAAAAATTAAAAGGAGTGAAAAAGGAGCAAAAATTGAGTTAACTGATGTCACAAACTTGTATCGGAAGTTTAAGGTCATAGAGAAAAAAGCTAATTAAAAATGTATTTAAAACTGTTTTGGAACTGCTGAAATATGTACATGTATTTTATCGCGGCGAGTACAAAAAATTCTGTAACACTTACGAGTTTGTAGCTTTCCAAATTTTCTTTTGAAAATGGTGCATTTATTTAGCAATCGTGAATATTATGGTATGCTCATAATTTATGGCGAAGCAAATGAAAATCCCCACAGAGCTTGTCAAGTGTACCATGCAAGATATCCTGAATGACGTGCCCTCCCACCGCGAACATTCGTTGCTGTAGCGCAAACAGTTTTGGACACCGGTGAAGTAACTGCGTCGAAGTGGCGACGGTGGCCCAGGGCGACCCCTAAGAATCTTAAATGTTGAGATGATTTTAGATCTCGTCGAAGAAGATCCTCATCGTAGCACCAGAAATATCGCACAGCAAGTAAATATTTCGCACCCTATTGTATGACGGACATTACGAGAAACTCAGTTGTACCCATTTCATATTCAACGGGTTCAAGCGCTTACTCCTGAGGATTTTCCACTACATCGAGGTTTTTCCAAATGGTTGTTTCACGAACATGCAAGAAATCCTCAATTTACAACGCAAACACTTGTTACAGATGAGGCATGTTTCGGTCGAAATGGTGTACGCAACGCCTACAACACTCACCACTGGACTATCGAAAATCCACACGAAATATGTCGCGTGGTCTTTCAGCAACAGTTTTCAGTGAACATGACACGTAGACGGTGCTTCATATCTAGATTGTTTGCAAAATCGCTTTGCGGAATTATTGGAAGACATGCCATTAAATGTTCGGCAAAATATGTAGTTACTGCATGACGGAGCCCCCGCTCACTTTTTTCGGGGAATACGCTACTTTCTAAACATTACTTTTCCCGATCGCTGAATAGGCCGCGGCAGCCCAGTTAGATGGCCCCCCGGTCTCCGTACCTCACCCCTTTAGACTTCTTTTTGTGGGGATATGTGAAAAATGTTGTGTATTCCACTGAGGTTCGTGAAATCGACCAACTGCGAGATTGTATTACCGAAGCTTGTAATACGATTCGAGAGAACATGGCAATGTTGCAACGCAAGCAAATGGTGGATACATCCAACATCTTCTATGAAAATCAGCAGTTCTCAAAAGGTGGCTCCTTGCAATGTTGAAGTAAGTCAGGTTTTAAAATTACATTTTACTCAACACAAATCCGTGGATTTACCTCATTTTGACATAACGGATATGTAGCAAAAATATTTGACATAAGTTCATTAACACCCTATATTGTTAATTTCTCGAAATCGCTGCATCGAATTCTTCGATATTGTGCATTACTGTTTTAAAAATATTTTTCAGATATCCAAACAAAAAATAAAGGAATTAGATCCGGTGATCTCACTGGCCATGACCCTCAACTCGATTTTCATGAAATTCTTGGAAAAATTGAATCGCTGCTCTTACATTATGTGCGGTTGTCCCATATTGTTGAAAATAATGTACTTGCAACTCATCATCATGTGATTGTGCCAAATATGGCTCTAAAATATGACTTCGATATCTTCAGCATTTATAATTAAGTCTAGAAAAATATAGACCCTATTATACGTCTTTTTGACATCGCTACCCAAAACGTCTACTTTTAAGGGATGTAAACTGGTTTCTACAAATGTATGAGGATTTTCTGAAGGCCACGTTCTATAATTTTGGCTATTTACATAACTTGATATGTGAAACCATGCTTCGTCAGTGAAAAACAACAAGTCCAACAAATCGTTATTCCTGCACAATAATAATTGCCTAGTATATTATGAAAATGCCGTTGTTCTTTTAAAGTTTCATAACACATTCCTAGTAAAATCCCTAAAATGGAAATTTTAGGATATTTACTATACTTCAATCTAATCTCAAATTCAAATAAAAATTTTGTTATAATATAGAGACAGGAACTAAATTTGAGAATATTTACACAAACTTAACAAAAAAAAATACCTGTATGAGCAGACAACTTTGATACGGACTTTGCAGGACTGATTTATCCGTTGCTGTATATTATCGACGACATTTTCTGTAAGTACAATTGATCTGCCCCTAGACATTCCTTTGCAAATGCAGTATTTGATTTCAAACCTTTTGACGATAGCACATTTCCAGTTTAAGAAAGTGTCATAGTTTAATGTTTGTCTCTGGAAATTCGATCATAAATTATTCAATGCAAGATTGCAAAGACTATGTCCATAACCCATCTTCACTTCGAGTTCCACTTTTCATGAGGCATCTTGTTCAGGAATAAAAGGCATAATACGTTCTGAAATAAAAATATTATTAACCTGAAAATATTATTTCTGTTAACTTACCAGTAATACGACGAAGTGTTAAAAAAGTTTAGCTATCAGCTGTGAAATATGTACGATTTAAATGTAGCTACTGAAAAATACACAAATGTCAATTTAGCGTCATTGGTCATAATGATTCGTTTACAATAAGTAACAAATTAATGCGTCTACACTCGAGAAAATCAGGTCGCTGATTGTTCAATGAAATGTGAAAGATTATTCCAATCATAAGTCGGTAAAACGAAACGTTGTGTTTTAACGTAGTCGTAATTTTATTGTTTATCTGAATTTAATTGCCAACGCGAGGCAAATAAAATTATTGTCTTATAATTGTGAGAACAATTATTATATTATCCATATGAAAATACAGTTTCTGCAGAAAAAAATGCACGTACTAGAATTTGAGACATTCCGTGAGGTACTTTACAGTGTCCAACTCGCCTCTCTCCTTAGCTAATTGCATTGCTGTGCACCCTCTTATGTCTCTAACATTAACGTCTGCACCACCTTGCACGAGGTATTTCACAATGTCGATCTTGCCTCTTTCTGCAGCTAAGTGCAAGGCGGTGCGTCCATATTGTTCTTTACAGTTAATATCGGAACTATGTTTCATGAGTTTGTTCACAATGTCCAACTGTCCATAACTAGCAGCTAAATGCAACGCCGTAAGGTTCTTGTTGTTTCTAACATTAACGTATGCGCCGTGTTGTACGAGGTATTCTACAATGTCCAGCGCATCTCTCACAACGGCTAAATGCAGTGGTGTGCCGCCATAGTTGTTTCTACTCTTGACGTTTGCGCCATGCTCAGTTAAAAACTTCACCATTTTCAGGTTGCATCCTTTAACAGCAGAGTGCATTGGAGTATCACCAATCTCATTTTTAATGTTCATTCCAGCCTTCCGCGTAAGGAATTTCAAATCATTTAATGTGTTTCTGCTTTTAACAGCTATTTTCAGACGCCAGTCTTTCATATCGATCTCTTTACCTCTAATGACTTTGAAATTTATGCTTTTCAGGATGAGTTGCAGGAGTGCCAACCGACTTTCGCCTGAAAGAACGAAAATGGGATTGTCGTTCATAACGGTTTTAGATACGAAGGACTGATAATTTTTAAATATGGTAGATGGTAAGGAATCTACAACAGGCTGAAGGAACTCATCAAGAAAAGCACGGATAACTTTAAATTCAGGTCTCACCAATATTTGGTCAATTAAGAGCCTTTGAAACTCAACGTTTGGATTCCGAAGTTGTAACTCTCTTGATATGCTATCGGCCACAAAGTACTCTGCGAATGTTCTGTGTACGAATTGGAATTTGTCCCCCAATTTTTGCACGATTCCTATCTTCAAAATGCACTCTTCGGTACATTTGCAGTCTGCATGGCGTTCTGAAAATAAATCACATTCAGTTTCCCTCAAGATCATCTTCAGGGCAAGACTACGATGATAAGCAAGGCATTCGTGGAACTGGTTGACGAGAGCCTGATTCGCTGCCGTGTTACCGATAGGATTCCCCTTGTCTGTGAAGACATCTTGTTTCTTCTTAATGAACATGCTATATAATCCCGCAATATTAACTTTCTCCGGTAATTTTGGTTTGAAATCATCCTGTTCTAAATATTCCTTACATCCTTCCCAGTTCATGAATTCCTTCCACCGAATACCTTTCTGAAAAATCTCTGCCAGCATCTTCACTTGCAGAGGCAGCGCAGTAAGGAGATTTTCTCCATAATGATGAGAATTTATCCATGAAGATAGTTTGGTTACCAAAGTCTCGGCATACCGCTTGCATTTATCTGTAAGTGTACTGTCTATTTTCAGATTATGGGCCCAGTAGCTTGTAAGGAAATCTACTTGATTTCGCCTCGTAAATGGTAACATTTTAAAGGATGCAGCGTTCAAAACCGCTTTCAACTCTCGAGATACGTGAGGCCTAGTGGTTACGAATATCTTAGCAAAGTTGGTAGACTTTTGACAGTGAGTCAGCATGTCGAGTACCAGACCCGTGTAGTCGGGACTGATTTCGTCTACTCCATCCATCATCAAGAGAACCTTTTCGTTTATGGAAAATACTAACTCCTCGAAATTATTAGTCATTTTAGTAGCTTCTTGAGAATTTAACAATTCTAATACAGTTAACGTTTTCTTATTCTTTCTCAGAGAGTCCCTTAAAATTCTCGTGTATTCATTAAGATTGATCCTGATAACCCATAAATGAGGACGTCTTTCCTTTATAACACTAGCCAGTTTAATAAGGACGGTACTCTTTCCCATCCCAGAACTATCTATGATCAGTATCACTTTTTCACTAGTATCATAAATGCGTTCCTCCGGAATAACATTCTTTCTCTTTCGTGAGTCTCTGACTTCTGGCTTAAATCTTCGATGTACGTAATACCTTGCGGTGTCCTCATCCAACTCTAAAGGCTTTACCCCAACTTTAATTTCCTCTCCTTTAATCAACACTTGCAGCATTTCAGAATGTAATGATTTTGTATAATTTTCATTCCTCGATGGCTCTAATAATTCTTCCAAATTGATTTTTTGACCTTGAAATACCACATTTTTCTTCTTTAGCGTTTCTTGGGTATTTTTTGAGAGGTCCTCGAAGGTTATAGATACGTCGATCTGTGAAATGTTATTCACTCCAAACAGTTCCATTAGTTCGTCATTGCCTTCGGTCACTAAAATAACTTTCTTATATGGATCCCTTTCTAATATTTCTCTTAATTTAATACATATTTCACTTTTTACTGTTTCGTTTTCAATTTTGGACCAAATCATTATTAAATAGACATAACTACGTAACTCAAATGATTCTACTACATGTTTCTGTATTTCAACGCTATCATTGGGATTGACATACAGTTTTCTACTTTCATCGTTCTGCAAAGCATGAAATATTTTCAACACCTGCAACAAATGTCCCTCTTCCGTCGCAAGGTGAAATATCCTTTTCGAGCCTGTGAAATTAAAATTGCTACGTTCGAAGGATACATTGTAGTCTTTTAAAGTGTCGCAGTACTTGTCACTTCTTATTTCACTAAACATGGCTTTGGCACGTACTTCCGTCAAATATTCACCTTTAGGTTGTTTAAACCAATCCTCCACTTTCTTGTATATTTCTTGGTGAGACGTTCCAGAAGAAATATTGTAATCATTCAAGCCAGACAGTAATTGTTCGATAATTTTATGCAATTTGGTTCCGCATGGATAGTTGGAAAAAAATTGTAAATTGTTTAGGAAGTCTTCCATGTTTTCGTCTGTTATTACCGCTTTATCAATGCCCTTACTTAAATTGTTATCAAGATAGCTCTGTATACTTGCTTTTAAATCAAGCAAAACATTCTGATTGAAGGTGAAGAATGTGCATGTGGGTCCTTCGTAATGTAACAAGCTGTCAGAGCCGACACGATGGAGGGTTAAAACGTTCTCCAAGCCTTTTTCTTCGATATCCGTGTTAGTGCATAAAATAACAGTTTTCTCTTTAACTTGAGACTTAATTTGCAGGTATGAGAAAAAGTACTTTGCAAGGCTAAAATCGGAGTTTTTGAAGCTGCTTGAAAAAAGCTGATCCCTAGTGATCTTCTTAGTTTGTTTGAACTTGGCCTGTAGAAAAACACCTTTATTTGGCATTTCGAGGACGAGGTCGTCGTATTTTCCAGCTTCCTGATTTTCCGTCGAGATTTTCCAGTTTCTAAAATTTTGGAGGGCGTTCAACAAGAACACGATCAGCAGATCCAGTTGAAACTGGACCCCCTCCAGACCGGCATTTCCTTTATTTTTCTTGTATATGTCTTCCATCTCCTTCGAAGATAAATCCCTGCAAAGAAAATGTGTAAGCTGGATAAATAAATACCTCTAAATATTGAATGTAACATATCTCAATAAAAATGAGATGTTCAAAAACTTAGGGACAATTTAAAAAATAATATTAATTTTGTATTCATCTATAGAGCATTTAAAGAAAACATTTTGGTAGATACATATACAGGATGTCCCAGAATAATGTGCACAACGGAAGACCACAGATTCGTGAACCCAAAATAGTCAGATTTAGGTTAATTCACCTATATCCGAAATCGCTTCGTTTGACCGCTAGATAGCCTCAAAGCTTGTGACAATTTTTGGAATTTTATAAATAACTCGAATACGTATTAATCGATTTTGATTATTTTTAGAGTGTGAACTTTTGCTTTAGATCTACACATTTTGGTGTTATACAGTGTTTTTTAAAACTTACAACTTCTACAAAATTGATGTATAGTGATAATATCCGTTCATAACTTTTTCCTCCTTCGGGCAATAATGACGACGATTTTTTATTTGATAGATGATACCATTTGGAAGTTTTTGGGCCTCTTATAGAATTTTGATTAAATGAGCGGTTTGGGTACAAAAAAATATTTTTTAAATGTCTACATTATCTTGCCATTTTACAATACCTACTTAACAAAGTGCTAGTAGTCTCTGATTTTGTATGTTGACTGTAATTTCAGTTTGATCTTTAAGTCATTGCACCTGTCAATTCTTAACGAGTGTTTAGGTACTACGATAAGATATACCACTTGTTAATTTTTCGATATGGATACACACATACGACGAATTAGTTATTTACAACGTGCCTAATTTTATTGAAATAATTCGTAAAATAATCAAATACAATAAAAAATGCTGGAGATAAAAGTAACAAAGTTGAGGTTATTAAATTTAGTACAACTTTTTACAAAAACTATTCAAAATGACCACCGTCTACAATAAAGGTCAATTCAGCGAAGAAAGTTAAAGGACACCCTTTGTAGTTCTTAAGAGCTATTTTTTTAAATATTTATGGCATTTTCGATATGCCTCCACAACTCTGTTAGATGTGGAAGCATGCACTGTTGTTTTCAGAGTGCCCCAAAAGTACAAGTCTCAAGGTGTTAAGTCTGGTGAATGTGAAGACCAGTTAACAGGTTAACATTATCCCCTCTACCGACCCATCGACGAGGGAATCTTTGATTCAGATACTGCCGAACATTTATAGTGAAATGTGGTGGAGCGCCATCATGCATAAACCACCTAGCTGTGAGTAATAACGATAAATCTTTTGCAAAAATTCTAAATAAAATTCCATATTCAGTCTATGGGGTAGAATTCGGGGCCAATAATAATGCTATCCCAAACAAGATCAAACTGAAATTCCAGTCAACCTACAAAATCAGAGTCTACTAGTACGTACTACTGTTAAGTATTGTAATAGGGGTGGCAAGATAATGTATACATTTTAAAAATATTTTTTGTAGGTACCCGAATCCCCCATTTAATCAAAATTCTACAAGAGGCCCAAAAACTTCGAAATTATATCACCAATCAAATAAAAAATAGTACATATTTTTCTTCAAATATATTCAATACAAAAATTATACAGACGCCACTGGCAAAAATAATAAAATTGTTTGTACATCAGAAAATGCATCTCGATGAATAGAAGGCATGTACCAAATTTGAAAAAATATTTAGGGTAATAGGGTGTTATCATAAAAAAATGTTTTTTCATAAAACTTTAGCACCCTGTAGTTCAAAAGTTAAGACTTTTAGAACATACGTTCATATGAAGTTTTTTTCTTAAAATGGACCCAAGAATAGCCTCCTTAAATATTAGCACGTTATTAGAAACACCCTGTATAATATTATAATATTAGTTTGTATAAATTTAAAAATAAAATAATGAAACTGAAACCAACAAAAGTTAAATAATGATATTATTGTCACTTCTATCAATCCACCATTTACTTCTATGCACTTCTCAATTCTGTTACGTACGTTCGTAATTACTTTTTGTTTGAGGTAATTTCTGAACAGGCTTATCCTAGCACATAGTTCCTGTATAATTTGTGGCCTTTTTATTTCAATAAACCCCAAAGAAAAAATCTATTGGCGTCAAGTCCGGGGATCTCGGCGGCTACTCAATTAAGGACTATTTCGTCCTATCCAACAATTCTCAAAATGTTCGTTCAACCATTCTGTCACCACAGCAGCGTTATGAATAGCTCTACCAGCTAAATGAAACTCCAAATTAAAAAAATTTATTAAAGGCAAGTCATCTAATGCGTTCCGAAATTCATTATTAAGATTTAAAAATCTATTCGTACCTATTCAAATTGTCTTAAAAAAATGGCCAATTATTCTATTATTTAGTATTCCACACCAAACGTTAACTTTTTGGGAATACTGCATCTGCGTTTATAATGAATTCTGAAAATGAAATTTAAGATTATTTAAATATTCTCTCTATAGCTAATAACAAAACTCCAAACGTCTTTCTTCATCTCCCAATGCCAAAGTATGAGCAAATTTTGAGCCACTTTAATACTAGCACGGGGACTATTATTAAAATATTGTAAAATTTAGTTATTATTTCTCAAAATTCTAGATTTAAGTAAATTTTTTGAAACAGCCTGTTTCATTGAAACCTTTATTTATACTGTACACTACTCCAACTTACTCGTCTGGGTGCCTAGTATTAAATTGCAGCATTTCTTGCCGAATGCACATTATCGCCAACAATTTCTATTTTGTCTCTTAATGGTATATTTTCCATGGTTATTAACACGTGATAAACTTTACTACACACTAATTTGTCACTAATGCCAATTAGCTAACTACCTCATTTTTTGTTTTGCTTCATGGATAACTTGATATTAACAATACAATTAATGAAAGAAAATACTTTGATACTATCATTTAAAATTTTTTAAAAAATTTGGTATTGACCCGTTTCGGGGGGTTCCTAAATCCAGTGGCCTAAATACATTTTTTCTCAAAAAATCCCCAATATGAAATATTCGAATTTTACTCCTAATAACGGACGTAGTTCGCCTTGGATTTTGTGGAATCACGCTCATTTTCCTGCACAAAGCACACTTCATCAAGCTCTACATCTGAAAAAAATCCAATTAAAATCGTACAATAAATAAAGATTTTACAGAGTGGCTTCAAAACAAATGGGTCACCCTGTATACAGAATGTTGCCTGACATAAGGAACAAGTCACTTAGGTCATTCTGAATAAAAAAGTTATTATATACGTGGCTTCAATTATCCATGGTTACCGAGCTATGGACTTTTAAAGTTTAGAAATAATGATTCAATATTCAATCTCGCTAACTATGAACATGTTATGTTAGTTGACATGTTGACAAAACAACTGATAGTTGACATGCCAAAATTTATAAACGTCAGTTTATACAGTAAACTGTGTGAACGTGTTTCTAGTAATACATTTCCTGTCAACATGCCTGTGCTGTTTTCAAACGAAGAATATATCGACATAGTTTACATTTATGGATTTTGTGATGGAAATTCGCGAGCTGTCCATAGTGAGTATCAACGGCGATTTCCGATTTCGAAGAGTGCCAAATTGTCAAACATTTGATTCTGTGTTTCGACATCTGCGAACGCGTGGTTCATTTCCAACAATGTCCACTAACTATGAACGTCTTGAGTAGCAAAATTTGATTGAGCAAGAAAACATTTTGCAGTAGACACGTACGAATGTTCCTCACTGAAGATTTTTCGAACATTACATAGCAATCTATTGTATCCTTATAATGCACAACCAGGTTCAGTATCTGGAATCGCATGACTTATATATCTTCACGGGTAAATTTTTGCCACTGGATTCAAGCAAATCCTCAATTAGTAAAACGTATTTTATATACCGAAGAGTCGCTGTTTACTAAAGACGAAGTGAACAATAAGCTCAACTCTCACAGATGGTCTGATAAGAATCCTCATTGCAAAAAAGAATCTAGGTACTTTTCAACGACGATTTTCTATAAACGTCTGATGTGATATATAGGTTCACTTTCCAAATTCGAATTGCCGAACAAATGTTTCAAATATTATATATATTTTTAATTTGTTTGAATTAGCTTAATACTTTCATAAAAGAGTTCATAAAACATGTGAGAATGCATGTTTTTTTGAAAAAAATATCCTGTCTGAAAACATAAAATCAGAAGCTCTTCATTTATATCTCAACAAGGCTTTATTCTTTTAAAACCAAAACCCAGGATTTTCGAAAAAACACCCTAAATTCTCAAACGTCCAAACATTATGTCACGGATTAATGTTAAATTTGCAGAAATTATTACCTGGACAAAAAAAAATATGACCGTATAGAAAATTAAATTTTAAATAGAGTTTCTTATTCTTTAAACTCGATTCAAAATGGCGAACATGGTTAAGAAAAATATATAACTAAAAAAATATAGCACCAATTGAAAAATTTGAAATGAGAAAGTTGTAGGTTTTAAAAAGAACTATTGACTGATTTTTTGTAAGTATCGAAAAAATCTTCTCTTTTCTCTTCTTCTATAACTCGTTTACATGTACGTTCCCATACTTGTTATTTACTGCAAGCATATGTTAGAGTCCGCTAAAATGGTAGCGTAGCAGATTTCGCTTGGCCTTGACGACCGGCGAGGCGTTGGCATAATATTGCAGACTGTGCGTTTAGGCTGTTCTAAACTATAAATGAGATCACCCTAGAAATGCTTAAGGAAGTATTATTCAGTCATAGTGATGGGCAAAACGATTCATTTTAATGTTTCGAATCAAATGACTCATTTCAAAGTTGAGAGTCGAAACTGGGAGCCGACTCTTCCGACTCCCAACTCCCATGGTAGATATCGAATCGCTAAGTTCGTAATTCGCATAATCACGGTGGCCCGTCTCGGAACGGACGGAAATAGCGGAATCTGGGCCGATTGACGAATTTTGTCGATCTTGAGCTTGACCGATAATTCGATTACATATTTG